CTTTTAAAACTTTCCGGCATACCTTACAGCAAAACATGATCGCACCTGATTTTTGAAGAAAAAAAACACCCGATTACTGACTAAGAGTTTAAATGCCAAATGAAAAAGAAACCAATGTGGACAATGAGAAATTATTGCTTTACTGTACGATTTTGATCAAATCAAATTCAGTGGGACATTTTTAGAAAAGGCGACTTCAATGAAAGCGTCCAGTTGGAAATGCCATGAATGTCCGCTAATTGAAATCTCTTGATCAAAAAAAAAAGCTGATATTGTTAGGTTCCCAAAGAGACAAAAGGCCCAAACAAAAGACCGGAACATAGACGACGTCATACTCTTCACTTGCGATATTGGATTTGATGCTAAAAATCTTCTAGCACTGTCATTACCAAATGACTAATTGAATGAGAGATGTGGGAACTTAAAAGCAAATAATATTCACAGCAACATTTTTCGAGGACACCTCGCCCCTCCTTCTCGTCTCTCGTCCCCTAACAGAAAATCCTAAATCACAGCAATGTTGTCATCGAAGAAAAAGAAAAAAACCCTTGCCACTACAGCAAATCTCACTAACCTGTGTGCATTATAAGCTGAAATAAATCTGTTTAAACACTGCACCACCACACAAAATCCAAAGCCAGTAAAACAATGATCGAAAAGCACACAACAACTGCATTGTTTCCCGTTCCTCAGATCAACTGCTGATTTCTGATCGAAACCATGTAATTAGCCGTTTGGAGGCTGATAGTGGCTGCTCGGCACCACGTGAGAAATTCGCTGCTGCTTCTAAAGTCAAACGATCTCTTTCGCCCATTTCTTCATCTCTGAAAATCGGAAAACTAACTTATTCGAGGCATTTTGGCGAAATTTCTCCAAATCACTTCCTATCGTGCCCCAGTACCGGTTTAACTCATAAGTGTGGCTCGCAGATGGGTTGCTCACTGTCAAGGGGCTCATCCCCAACGCTAATTTATCGAAGTTATAAATGAGAAATCCGTTTCACGAACCTGTCATACTGTGGCTAACACATAAAGCTACACGACGCGTACTACTTCCTGCATTTGTTATACCATAACAGTTAATTATGACTGGGCTCAATAACTGCCTCACTCCACTTAATTGCAATGTTTGCAAAAAATCCAAACTTACTCGGCTTCGTGGCTTATTAGCTTCTGTGAAAGGCGGTCTTTTTTATTCACCAACGCAACTAAATCGTTCATCATCTTATCAATTCTCTGCTTATCTTCTTCGGTTTTGTCCGCTTCTGCAAAGATACATAATAAACTTCATCAGCGTCGTTCATGTTCTAATACAGCACCTGATCGTAACCAGAATAAGTGACCCAGGGAAATCCCTTTAAAATGTTAAGTCGGAAATATTTTGCAAAAAGTTTGAAATAAGAATAACACACTAGTTAAACAATTACAGAAAAATTTTCTGATCGACAGCGAATGCCGACTGTTGCATGGGGGAAGGTTAACTTTGAGATTCTCTGCTTTTCTGACAACCGCAAAATTAACTGAAAAAAAAAAAATGAACAGGTCTCACGTTCAATATTGGACGCGGATCCAAGCTCACGTTGCAACTT